GTGCTTTATGCCCTAGTGTTGTAATCCTAAGAAAAGGTAGCAGAAACAAATGAAGAAAATGAAGAAAGGAGTATCTGCAGCCCAATTTGAGCAGACCCAGCAATGCAGAACTCGCCCCCAGCTAAGCAACAGCCAGATTTGCAACTGTGCTTTTAGATCAACAACTCATTTATTCCCAGCTAGACCACTGTGCCAGCTCCCATGTAATCCCAGCAACTCTGATACGCAACATTAGCTATCTAAATGATAACAAGCAACAAAGTATTCTAAAACAAAAGGGCAAATGAGAAGAAATCAATGAAAAAATATTGCCATACACAACAGCTGACACAAAGCACTAGCCTATGTTGCTATGGCTTTGCATGCTGTACAGTGCCACAGCACTCTTGTAATAGAGAATGGAAAGGGTCTCCATGATGCAACACACTGACATAATAAAGGGACGTACATCAAGATGATGGGCACTTCTCGCCTGTCAGAAGTGCTACCACAGCTTAAATAGACATACCTTAACAAGCTTTGCAGCTGCCTGCTAGCAGCGTGGGGTCATTCAGGGGCTGTGAAACCTGTCTGAGAGTGAATAAATACTTAAATAACTAGTCTTGGCACGCTGCACTGGATAATTACATCTGACAATCTTTTCCATGCCTTCAGCCTTGCAGGGATATGTAGGTCTTATCCTAACCTACAGGATATTTCAAAGCAGTGGTCCACAGTCCATACACGGGGCAGCACATTACACTTCAGACATTGCCCTATTACTCACAGTCACAAGCCATCACCACTACAACAGCAGACATCAAGAAAACAGCACATATCAGCTTATTTTATTGCTCTGTAATTTTGCCTGAAAGCTAGCAAAGGGTTGGGCATCAAAATTTTAGGTTCACAGTCCTAATGCCTTAAATCAGGATTACAGATACTTAAAGTTTCAATAAACTCATAAAAGAATGCTGACAAAAGAGTGGTAGGTGGCTTGCAAACAAAGCAGAGCTGAGAGAGACTGAGATTTCCTATTCTGGACATAATTACTGACTTTTGAAAGGCCACAGTCTGACTTCAACAGCCATTTAAGAAGTATCAAGAGCAGAAGATGCTGAGAACATTCCTTAACAAAGCACAAGGAGTATCAGGCTGTCCCTTAGTCTCAAGTGAAAAACCTAGCATGGTTTATTAGCTGCCATATTAGCTAAGCATTGTATAAGGGATAATCAAAATCAATTACTTCATTTGCTAAACTGCTGCAAATACGTTATAGAAGAGCTCTAGAATCATAAAAGGAAAAAAAAAAAAGGGTAAAAATCTAAAAACGTGAAAAGACCAAAAAAGAACAAAAGTGATTTTGCTGAGAAGAGAGGTTTGCAGATTACCTGAATAACTGCATCTCAGACAAAAAACAACGCATTTGAGAAAACTCAAATATTCTGTAATGTATTTGATTTCACTGGCATGGAAAGGGCCAAAAAATAAAAATAAAAACAAATCAAGACCAAAGCCACCTTTCTTATACATAAACATAAAATTCAGTGCTAAAGAAACTGAAGATCTCACTAACATTCATACCTCACAGTTCTTTTACCCCATCTCTACCATCAGCTGCAACATTTTATGGGATAATTAAGTACTTCCTAGGAACTGACAGAAAGATCTTTCTTAATCCTCAACTTTCAAAGCCAAAAAAGCAGAAATTACAAATTTTGAAAATATGAATACTAAAAGCCATATGCCACTAAATGTATTTATTGCCTTATGAATGCATGTGATTTATAAAATTCAGGAAAAATAGCAGTACAAATCCTTAGACTTGGGCATCATTAGGGTGCGCTCATCAGCCACAGTGAAGGCCCTCTTTAACTCAGTTCTCACATTATGTGCTATGAAGAGGATTCCCAGGAAATTCTCAGTGCCTCAAACACAAAAATCCACCTTTTAGTACTTGCATTGTAAAATTGCTCAAGCCAGGATTTTTTTTTATTTTTATTTTTTTTTTAAACCTCCAGGCTTAACATCTTCATTTGAAGTTGTTTCCCCAGGAAATAGCTGCTGGCCCACAGGTACCCTCATCTGTTGCTTCTTTGTTTCCAATCCCTGCACAACTCCATAGACGTTGCCCTGGCCCTGCTTCTTTACAGTAAATCACATGCCAAAGTGAGTCAGCAAAATCTGTTTAACCAATTTCTAGAGAAGCAATGCTTTTAAAAACAAGCAGCCAGAATGAGTATTTTCTTACTATCTCTTCTGTTTTTATTTTACCCTATTGGTTGCACACAGGATATGACATTAGAATCCATAGAAATCCAAAATTAAAAGCCTTACAAATCACTCTAACAATCTGCCATTGTGTGCTTTACCAGTATAGCTTTTCTCTACAGTCTAGGTGTTTTCCCTAGCTGTAAGGAAGGAAAATGGATGTCATTAAACTGTTTTCACTGACTGCATGACACAGTTCAACAGGTTTTTGCTTTTTTTTTTTTTTTTTTTTTTAATAATCTACGCTTAATTCACTATGATTTTCCCTCACTGCCGCATTATTCCTGTATGTCACTCTTTTCTAACTCCTGTGACAAAAAGAATCACAATGACTTTATTTAAGATCAACACTTCCATTTGCAGCATTGAAAGGTGCAAAGTTAAAGCGGCTGCATCAGCGCTGCCTGGTGCCGGTGCTGGGGCAGCAGCTGTGCAGTGAGCAGCAGCCTGTGGGCAGAGGTCAGGGCACAGAGAGTCAGCAACACGGGCAGGAGTTACTGCCTCACTGCCTGCTCTGTGGCAGACAGGGGAGAAACTTGAATTGACAGACAGTAAAGCACACTCTGCAGTACTTCAGATCGACTGGGTTAGGTTTATTTTTTGTCTTTTTAAATGTTTACTTCAAATATAAGTGAAAATACATACAGTATTTAAATATTACTCCACCCTACATGCTGTACTACTGTACTCACTAAATGAAATGATTTCCACGCGTTACAGCCTGACCTGCTTTTTAACATTTGGATTAAGAGTTAGCTCACGTAGCTCCAGCTTTAATCTGTTTTAAAGCACAAGAGTTTTAAATCATTTGTGTTGTGTTTATGTACAACTGGAATTGCCCATTGTTACAGCAGGCAGATTTTGGCAGTTGCCTTTGCTACTTTGACTGATCACAAGTTGTCTTATAGTCTCAGATGGTGTCAGACCTAGAGACTGTATCTTATGCCAGCTGGAGTGAGAACATTGCTTTAATGTATAGAAAGACAATTTAAAAATGGGGTTTGGTAGAATTTTCTCTATGCACTACAATGGCAGCTGTGCTAGAGGTCATGAATATTACATAAGGGCTATCCATGCATTCAAGCCAGCATCAGCAAGCCAAATTCCCATAGCAACACTAGCATAGATTTACTCATCACTAGGAGATGCATCAGTTCAGCAATAAGTGCAGTGGTGCTACCCTGATTAATCTGCAAGATATTATTACTGCAACTCTTCATTTTAAAGATTGTGCATTTACAGATAAAATTCAACACTTCACCTGAATTTCAGAGCAGTCTTTATCATCTTTCCTAACAGAGGAGAAAATATTCAGCTAACAAAAAGCGACACTGATAAAATTGAAACTCCTGATTATGATCAGCACCAGCTCTAAGAGAAGAAGGGAAAGGGAAAAAAACAGACTGCTTCTAGGGCACCTCTACTGTACTGATGCTACAGCAGCATCACTCAACTTCAAAGAAATGTTCAGCATCTCCTGGGGTTGGCGAGTTCCAACAGCTCATCAAAAAGCTGCTTTAGGAGCTGTTATTAAATATAGGTCAACAATTATGTTTTGCAAAAAAAAAAAAAACAACCCCAAAAAACAGCTTTAGCTTTCCTGTTCAAGTTCCCTGGCCTGAAAAAAACCTCTATTTATGCATTATATCACTGTACTGTTTATGGAGCTGGCCCTCGCTAAATGATCAAATGAATACCTCAGTGATGTGGACTGCTGAATTTATGAAGAACTCTCATAAAACAGGTGGCATAAACGGGAAGAGGCAAAGCTGGCAGTGGAAAAGGAAACAGAACAGGAGGTAGATCAGAGATAACAAAATAAAAACTGAGGCAAAATGGAGGTAGGGAGCCAGAGAGAAACACAGAGATCACAGGAAGAAAAAAGGTAGAGCTGAGGAGGAATCTACGCAGCATATTTCAATATATAAGAAATGGTACTGAAGAACTGCTCTTAGAAAATAGTTGTACACCAAGATCTGGCAGAAGGAAAAAAAAAAAAAAAAGACTGAAATGAAGTGATAAATGGAGGATAACAAACAAGACAAGCATGATTTTTACAGGCCATAGTATTGAAACATGCAAAACAGATGAAAGAAAAACAAGCAAATACTCTTTCACTGCATTATTGTTAAAAGCCTCACAGTCCTAAATAAACACAAAGGAAGAACTTGAAGCTCATGTGGTATTTCCATACTAATCTGTCACAATATGAAGTTATAAGCAAAGGTCTTAACAAGTCCTAGAGCATATTACTCACAGGATCAACTAACACCTGAAGGGTAAAGAAAGTCAGTGAAGTCTCCAGGAAAAAGAGATCCTTCCAAGAGATTTCATTACCATATCACTAGTAGGGACTGATCCTTCATTGAGGGGAAGTGAATAGGACATTTGAGGGCCAATTTCTAGAAGTTTTAAGTGCCACAGGGATCCACAGGCGAACTTCTACAAGTCTCCTCAGTAAGAGCTCTAAGCTTTGACCACATGTACTGCAAATTAATACATACAAGAAAAAAGTATACACATTTTAAAAAGATTATGCTTTAATATACAAGCAAATTGAGTGCTTTTCATGGAAGATTCAGATTCCGATTTTTTCCCTATAGTTTCTACTGTTGTATGGAAAAAAAGCCTTATAAGATGTCTGATGGTGCACGCTCAAACATTAAAAACATTTGTACCAGTAACAGATAAGATGACAGATTTTTAAAGCAGAACGTTTTACGGACCTCTGATGAGAAATAACACCTTACCTTTGCTTTTTCCAACTGTGCCTGGGCCTGTCGCTCTGCCTCTCTCCGCACTGCTTCCCTGTCTTCTTCCAGAGATACATCGGAGTCAGATGGACGGCTGGTGTAGGAGTCCGCCGAGCCCTGCACAAGGAAAAGAAAAATAGTATCACAAGTTGTTTTGGAATCCAAAAAAAAAAGCAGAAGGGTTATGCACCTTGTCTTTCCTCTTAAATCTGTATCCCTGAAAAGAGAATAACCGTCAAAAAGGGAATGACGCTTAGTGAAATTCATCTAAATGGACTTTTTCTTCTGGAGAACTTCCAGAGTACAGGTGTCTCCCCTTGTGTTGCATTTCCTGCACTACCCCTGCGTGCTGATCTGTATGCATTTTAATAAACTGTGCCAGTCGCTCTGTAGAGTTACAGCAGTGGTGCAGTGCAGGGTTGAAGGACACACAGCAGCTTCAAGGATGGCTCCATAAAAAGAGAACTCTAAGCAGTGACATTATTAACAGAGAAACACATTTTTACAGTCAGAATACTACTTCACTATTGATAATTACCATGACACAACACTCCTGATTGCAGATTTAATTTCTGCTATGCATTTTTATTTTAGGACAACCTCTTTACCTGACACACTTTCCCCATTAGAACTGCAAATGGCTCACATCCATCTCCTGCCCCTCAGCAAAACATGTAAATGACCACAAATCAACTTCTCGCTAATAAAATCTGTCTGGACTCAACGCAGGTCCACAAACTGCCACAATGGAAGCAGTCCCAACGCCAGAACAGCTCTATAAATAATGACAGCTCTGATTTCCCTCTGCATCTCCCTGCATACAAAACAGAGTTCTGCTAATTCAATTAGAATGAAAACAACTATCCTCTCCACACCGTGGCTTTTTTTTTTTTTCTTCTTCCCTCTCTGCAACGCATAGAATATATGCCAATAACGAAAAAACAGGGCTTACACAGATATCAGAATTCTTCAGACGTCCTCCTTTGGCTCTTTTCAGAAGCCTGATCCAGGTGGCCTTCATTAGCCAGACAGCTCAGTTATTGTCCGCAGCTGCAGCGCCCGGCACTGATCTCACACAACATGTGCACGCTGAGCACCGCAGAATCACCGCTCCTTTCCTATCCATGCTCTGCTGCGAGAGCCTTTCTTTTCTTCCCTCTGCCTTTCAAGCTTGCAGCCTCACTGTTTCCAAGTATTCTAGTGCAATTAAATTCATAAATTTTCTCATTCCAGTTAAAAAAAAAATCAGAAAAAAAAAGAAAATATCCACACCACCACCAAAAAAAGCTCAGCTTGAACAAGAAAAAAATAAAACATGCCAGACTTCAGGTAAATGTTGTGAGAGATGCTTCAATTGATAACAACTGAGGTCGATCACAGAAAAATACCTAGGGTTTTTTCATTTGGGGGGGCGGATTTGGCTGTTAAAAATAGTGCTTGTAAGAGAACCTTTTAAAATCCTGTGCAAAATGCATTCAGTGACATTTGCAAGTGCAAAGTTCATTTCATCTCCTCCTAGATTGGCTGGGGGTGGGGTAATGGGCTGCTCAGAGCACTGGGCATGCTCCATCCGTGCAGCCTTTTACGCAGATGCTCGCATCACACCGTGCCAGTAGCCTATGCCAAATTGCCATTTTACATCTCAAGGGTAAACAGCTGGAAAACGTGAGGGAAAACTGGACAGGCTGGTACAGCATCTCACTGCTGCCGCACATGTCTGCTGCCAGCCCGCACCATGCTATGCAGAGCCCTGGATTCACTAGTGTGCCTGTTGAGCAGGAATTAACCCCCTCGTCACTGCTCGTGTTCGTCTGACATAGGCAGATGACAAAAGCAAGGGTGCTGTAACTGCTTAGTGCATAAATATTTGATGCTAGCAGAGCAAAAGGAAACATTTCATTTCTGCATTTTGCTTTCCATCCTTTTGTAAGCTGACATGGGAATAACATACAAAGGCACGATTATCCAGGATATTTACAATTCGCTGACACTAAGCAAAATTGTGGAGAAAAAAAGATCCTTAGAGCTAGACTGAAGTGCTTGCCTTAAATATGAATCCACAGTTAGAGGAAAAATAGAGATCAGAGCTGAGGGCACTGGTGGTGCACCTGTAGCAGCATCTCAGCCTCTCCTGGGAAGTCAGAGCCCTTCATCTACCAAGGATCCAGTCCTGCTGTGGTTTGTATATTAACAAAATTACCCCATTGCAAGAGATACAGCAGCCTACATTTAACCACTATTGCAGCAAACAATAATTGGCACTAAACTAATAGTTTGAAATAAAGGTAGATTTAACTTTCACAATTTTCTTCCCCTGAAGTCCATTAAAAATAAGCTTAAAGTTTAATAACCTGTCTTTTACATCAAGCAGATTACTCACCATGGGATATTTTGCTTAGAGGAGTCCAAATACATCTACCATATTACAGTTTGAAAACTAAAATGCCTATTGAATTAAAGCAAAAGAAGCAAAACATACTCAGACTTTCCTTGAATTTTGTAAAATACATTTTCCACTAGGAAAATGCCAAGAGTCACTGTAATCTTGCAATAGCATTTCAAATGTATCTATTATTTAAAACTTCAGTTTATCAATGTATTGAACCAGTGGAGCTGGTAGAAATCAGTAGCAAAAGCCAAGCACCAGCAAGTGACCAGCAGCTCAGTGTAGACGTCAAACACTGATACAACTGTCAAAATAGTGACAGTTAGTTGCTTTTATCAGACCTATATCAAAGCTCTGAGACTATATTTAAGTCCTGTAACACCAGCCTTAGCCTCTGGGATGCTCCAGGATCTTCCCAGCACCTGATGGCTGCAAGCTGGGCACCACTGAACACTTTCAGCTCTGCAGCTCCACACACTGCTCTGGAGGAGCATGGTGTGGTGTTGCAAATCAGCCTCTAAGCAACGTTATCTCTAAATAAGGGGAAAACAACTGCATAAGCCATGCAGCCCAACACTGCCACCATGCAAATGACAGAATGAGTGTTAGCCTTCTGCAGCGGTCCTACAGCACATACATCACATCGTGCACCTCTGAAATGGTGTGGCTTCACCTTTAGTGTTGTTAATCATGTTGTTGGCAAGGGATATTGCCAAAGGTGCTCAACCTACGAGAAAGTCAAAAAGCACAGAAACATCATTCCTATGCCCACAAAAGGGACAAGATGTTAGCTCAGAACTACAGAAACTGGAATTTCATCTTCTAGCCACAGAGATGATTTGCAGTGGTGTTCCTGTCTTGTGCTGGCTACAATCCCAACACACATCCAGAAAGTCATAATGATTCCATTTATTTTAATTATACTGACAAATCACATGAATTAAATTCAGCGTTACATTTATTTCCCCAGTGGGACAGACATGGTCATATCAGGAGTTTCCCACTTCCTGAATATGGAAAAGGGAAAAAAAAGAAAACAAATTGAAAAATAAAAATTAAAAAAAAAAAAAAAAAAAACCTGAAGTCTGACATCAGGAGAGAAGGGGGACACATAATACATGCTGTAAGCTAGTATTTTTTTAATGAGCTAGGAATATTTTCAACCGCTTTTATATGAAAAAATATATAAAAAAAAACAACATAGATCACTGTAGTTTCATCAGTTTTTATCTCAGTTGGAAATAATCTGATTACTCAAGGAATTCAGAGCCAAGTGGATGAGCACCATCCCTTCACTACAGGTAAGGAAACTAGATTACCTTCCTGGGTTACACTGAGCTTTAGAGCTTGCTCTGGAGACTAGCATGAATCTTCTCCCAAGTGCTTCTGAAATTTTGAGTTTCTGCAGGTCTTCTTCTCATTCCACTGCAATGTGGAAGAGCTGCAATAAGACTGAGGGCTGCTACGGTCCCCAGTTCCTCATCTTTCACTAGAAACTGTCAAACAGAAGTGAGACAACTCATGGTAATAATTAACCTATCTATTCATTCTCCCCTTTTCATCCTTCCTTGGCATGTTTACAAAACACATTTGTCTTAAAAATCATTTCCTGTTTTAATGACGTGCTTGACAAATATTTACCAACTGTCTTACCACTTACTCTATGAGAATATATTCTATATGTTGGTGGGGGGTTGTTTATTTTTTTTTTTTTTTTAATTTGATTTAATCTGAATCCATATCTTTTACACTGTTAATACGACATCATTGAATCACAGATCATGTACTTATGTTTGAGGTTTTTTTCTTCTTCAAGACTATGTCTTATTTTGTGTCCTCCAAGCAAGAAACACTGCTTTCTAATTACGATTCTTGTTATTTTCCATTACTTGCAGTTAGGAAACCATTAGTTAACTTAGGTGGAGTCTCTAGAGATCTTATTTTTCTTGTTAGTTTTCTTTACCACCTGTAACTTTGGTCAGCACAGTGGGAACTTGAGTACAGACTTTGATTGAAGTACAGCCAAAATCTGTTGATATGTTTGGTCTGTAACTGTAATAAATTCTCTCTGGGTTAATATAGCTATCATTACACTTGCATATTTAGTCAGGAGTTTATATTTATGCCTCATGAAAAATAATAGTGGTCCTCTGGGTACCCAGTGGTTCTCTTTAGGTTGGCAACCCATTTAAGTGCTAAATATCAAAAGGACAGGTAACTTCAAAACTCATGAAAATTCTCAAATAATTGTCTTAAGAGAACAATCAAACAAGTTTTTTCAAGTAGGAACTTTTAACATTATTACTTATTAAATGAAGACTTGAAGCAGCGTGCAAACGATCTTACAAGGAATCAGGTATGTGTGAGTTCACACAGAGTCCTCATCCTTGATGCCAGGTTTTTCTCCTAGATGTATTTTTTATCCCCTCTCTTATTTAAAGCTGAAGAGAATTTTAAATCCAAAAGGAGAAAAATCTTCATAGCTTCATACTTTGAATTGTTCCCCTCACCAACACAGTGAGATTTGTACTTTCTGTACTGATTTAAGTATTCAGAATCTATATAGAGATTTTTATCTGCTTATCTTCTAATCTTGTGGAAATCATCAGAATGACATCACATGTCCTGATGGTACATTTGATACAATATATACATATATACTATACAACATATATACTACGTCCATCTGACGTGTTACTACTTCTGAAGTGCCAGAAAACAAGGCAGTGAGAAAGAAATGTTGAAAGATTACTTCTGTAAATTCTGTAAAATTCTGTAAAATTTTCAATTAATTTAAAAATTTTAAAAGCAATGCAAACCAAAAGGAAAATGCAAAACAGTGTTTTAGTATGAAGTTAAACTGCTGCCATGGGCAAATTTCTGTAGTATGTTAACAGAGAGTATAGATTTACTGTTTAAGCAGGTGCTAACCAACCTGCAATCTATGGGCCATGCAATTAGAACAGCACCCTCAATACAAGAAGTGCCTCTGCTTGTCACAGTGGCCAGAGTTGGTGAAGGGAAAGATTTACTTAGACCTCTAAGAAAAGTCACCATTTTGAAAGATGTTGAAGAAAGCACAAAACACAACTCTGAAAGTGCCATAAAACGTCATATCATACAGATTGTAAAATTAAGGGCAGCCTTTTTAAGGAAATACAAAAGTAATTCTGATTGTTTTGTATGCACATTTGTTGTGTACAACAAACTAAAGAAACATAACTAAAGAAACATATTGAGAAAAAGGACAGAGATCACATATGCATCTTGCAGGAATCACTGACTCCTTGATGAAGGCCATTACAGCCAGGCTGGAACAAAGGTGAGTCCTCATTGCCCTTGGGCATTTGGCATGACCAGAGCTTGGCTACTTGTCCACTGCACATCTATTTTCACTTAAATCCCAAATAAACTTGCTTTCCCACAGACAGTATGTAAGGAACGTGAACAAATCCTACAATAGACACTGAAATATTTTGTTGCATTTATAAAACAAAACTGTGTTGATTGGAATTCTGTTTATTTTTTGTTTTAGAGCAATTTGGACATTGCTGCAGCACCTACATCCACAGAGGACCTTCATATAACAGGAGGAGAAAAATTTTGGAACAGCTGGGAACTTTAGGGCAGTAATGTGATTAAAAAGGAGATTATATAGGAAACCCCTCTTCTCTTTACTCCCACCATGACTTTTTCAAGCTTCACTGCAGCTCTCAGCAGGACATTAGCAGGTTTCCAAGATGCTAATCCAACCAACAGCTGGATGAAAGCAGTTTTTAAAAACAGCCCTTAGGTTTTCAGAAACCTTGGATTTCAGCATTCACTGACCAGGGGAACAGCTGCACCAGGTACTTTATCATGCAAAAAATAAACAAAGTCCCCCACAGAAGTCACACACTAAAAAAATCCCCACACACATTTGCACTAACATTTTCATAGTACCAGCCTAAACATTTGCTTTTCTGTTGTTGCTAAGACAAAGTAGTGTTAGATTGAATTGTTAGTGGAATGATGGGCTTGTTGAGGTCACTCTTAGGAAAACTTCTGGTGATATATGCAAACTGTTTCCAGGAGGGCAGCTACAGACC